AAAAAAAAAAAGAGAAAAACACATATACACACGCACGCACACAAAGGTATTGCATTTTCAAAGGTGTTCTCAAAGTGCTGTTCGATCGATGCCCTGTTTGTTGCCCCAAGATATGGCAAGAAATGTGTTGAAGAGAGCGGCGAGTAGGCAACGCCATATTTATTTTTTTCTTTTCTGTTTTCCTTTTTTGAAAAAAAAAAAAAAAAAGATTCAAAAAACACGTCGCTACTATCGCGAGAAATTCAAAGGAATCCAAGGAAGACAACGAGTCGACGAAACGTGGTGAACAGCGCGACGAGCGTCTGGGCATTCGTTGGTTACGGCAAAGTTTATTTTCGATTGCAATGTGTTTCCCGACAGCGGGCGGCCATTTTGTCGCTTGCTGGCGGATAAACAAATGACGACGTCGGTGGTCTGGCTTCGAGGCTACAGGCGCGTCGCATGCGCGGTAATTCAATTTCGTTTCAGCTCCTCCTCACGCATCTCCTCTTCCGTAATTAAACGGTATTCCCGTGCGATACCGAAAATAGTAAACGAAACGAACGTTTATTTGAGACAAAACCTCTTTCTCTCTGTACGGTTTACGTTTCTCTCTCGTTCGTTTTTACGGATGTAAAGTCACGGTTCGAAACGAATACATTACACGTGTTCGATGTGTGCGTTTGTATGTGTATGTGTATATGTATATATTTATGTATATATAATATATATATATACACACATGGTATTTCGAAATTGGATTTTGCTTTGCGCAGATGCACGTGACTAGTACTTTCGTGCATGCATAATTATTCATCAGCGTCGTGACGATGTTCAACGCCTCGCAATGTTTAACCTCAGCTGTGAATGATATGAAGCTATAGCCATCATGAAGAAATAGCAATTTTTTATGCAGTGACAAATATACTCGTCATGCGAGAAGAGTAACAACAATTTGTTACTTGAACTAAATTTTTTGTGCAAAGTAAAACGTATTTGTAATTTTAGATATTTTAGAATATTTTCAGACTAAACTTTACTGGTTCTTTTTACATCATTTCTAAATAATTTCTTGCTATTGATATTAATTAAGTTAAACAATAAGATTACTGATTTTCAAAAAAAAAAAAAAAAAAATGGTGTTATCTCTTTACAATTTAATTCAATTTTACAGCAGCTGCACATACTCTGTGTTGTGTGACGAGTATAATCGTCATCATGTTGTTCTAGAGCAACACAATGTAAATACATACTTTTAAAAGCGACAGCACAGCTAAGAGGTTAACGAGTGGAGTCTCTGGAAAATCTTAATTTTTTTTTTTTTTTCCTCCTTCTCTTGATCGAAGAGGTTCAACTTTTGCCCTGAAACTCTTACTCGTCTATTATATGTGGAGGCACACGTTGCTAGGATCGTGAGAAGCTGTTGCTTGGTAACAATATTTCTGCCTCGTTGCCGACCGAAGCCAGTCGATTCCTCGCCGCTTCACGGATCAAACGTCCCTTCTCCTCGAAAAGAGCCGAACCAATAACCACCAATAACAAAAATATAACCTTAGTCGTCCATGACCTTCAAGATGATTTTAAGGGACTTGACGCGCAAAGAACCGGTAATTCTCACTGTCTCTCCTCGAGTCTCTCCACGTGACCGGAAACGAACGTTGCATTACCGAAGTATAAAGTACACCAAAGTATAGTTTTTGTACGTCTAGTTTTAGTATTCAACGGGTGGGGGAGGGGGGAAGGAGACTGTAGACCGAAGAGATGCAAGCGAAGAGAATAACAAGGTTAATTGAGAACCGACCGTCTCTGTTGCTGTTTAAGTAATAACGCAACTTTTGTTTTACAGTGACGAAGAAGGTACTTGACCCAGTATGCCGCCAGATAGACCGGACGCGTCAGGCGTGGAGACTGGCATAGGACTGAGCAGCACGCAGGTTTTCAACTTCGGGGAAACAGTGTACACGATGAAGGAGAAAGAAAATGCGAGTGCTTTTGTCGAAACGAATTCAACCGACGAACTTTCTATGTCCGACAAGTCTGTCGAGAAGAACAGCCAGTCGGACGATGATCTAACCTCATTGAGCTGGCTTCATCAGCAGAACTTGTTGAAGGGTTTGGACATTTCAAACCCCACGAAAGACATGAAGAACGACAACGCTTTGAATAACAATGTCTGCGACGATACGGCAGACTTCTCTGAGAACACCAATTCTGTATCGAGTTTAGACGATGGTTACTGCCCAGGTAATTTCCAATCGTTAGCTTGTAGCTATGTTGCAACAACGACAACGACAATGATGGAATGTAATTCTCATTTTTTGTTTCAATTTTTCGCAGCAGATAATAGTGGCAAGATAAATAACACGGCGTCGCATGGTAATAGTCAAAACTATCAACATTCGAATAAAAATGGTCAAAAATCAATGCAAATCTTTCAGGAATCTGTAAAAAGTCATTACAGCACCTCGCAAAACAATCAGACGAAGATATCCCTGAACAACAATAATCTGCCAGTCTCAAATCGCAACAAACACCCAACTCATATACCATATGATCCTCACTTGCATAGAAACAGTAAACCGCCATATTCATTCTCTTGTTTAATTTTCATGGCTATTGAAGATAGCCCAGTAAAAGCTCTACCAGTCAAGGAAGTATATGCTTGGATTTTGGATCACTTTCCATATTTTAGGAATGCTCCGACTGGATGGAAAAATTCTGTTAGACATAATCTAAGCCTAAATAAATGCTTCCGTAAAGTAGAGAAAGCG